TGGTCTATTAATATGAAATATCACAAAATTCCGGATTTCTTATATAAATATGAATGAAATCAAAAATTGTCTTCATGTGTTTTTCTTAGAAAAACCAGGTTACTCTATTTTGAGACTGACCGTATATTATTATCAAACATTTAAATCTGTTATCATGTATTTATTATACTGATTAAAATTTTTAAAAATAAAATTAATTTTTAAAAACACCCATTACAACGTTTCCAATAAAAATTATATAAAAGAAGTTGTACAAATAATAATAAAGTTTTAAAATTAAAACATTTATGTTTTTTGGTTTTGAGGTTTAGTTGATATAATACATGCTTTATATAATCGGTCTTTCACTTTATTTCATTTATGCATTTATTAGTCATTGATAAGGGAATAACACGTAAAATATTCGGAAAAACTTATGGTCACCCGAAAAGTGTCCGGCCATTCGCCCATTTTAATGAGTGATAATAACTCACAAAATAGTGTATATGAATGAATATTTCGATATCTATACCCCGTTAGTTAATTTCCAGAGTTGGCACTAATTTATAAATTAATTTAGTAAAAGGGAAAATATTTCAATTAAATTGAATTAATAGATTTGGATTTTACTGAATGATTTATTTGATTTTTAATAAAGTTATACTAAAATAAATATGCAGTGTTAACTATAGACTAGATTCAATCATTTTATGTTCAAGCTTGGACATCCTACTCCATACAACAAACAGAATGGTTGAGCGCATGTTTTCGGTCGACCAATCTGTGGACCTATGAGTGCGAACATAGGGTCACACGTGAAGGTAAAAAGCAGGGAATATCGGGTCCCAGAGGTGACCCTCTCGACGAAGTGCTCGTTTTCCGTGCCGGACGTGAGCGCCGAGAGTCGTCCCAACTTAGGCTCAATTGTTGTGTTCGACATCTCGTCCGTGAATATAAGGCGTCCGCCGGAGAAGTCCGCGCCATATGTCGACAAATAGAGCACAGAAGTGAAGTGTAGGCGCCTATGGGCCCGCTTATCAACGTGTCGGCGATAATATATGTTGTACTTTAAGTGCGGTCTCTTTGCTGTAATTCTCACGAACGTCGTCGGAGTCGTTAAGTAGAGCTCACCCGAAGTGATGCCGAAATGACTGGCAATCGTTTTGCGGACTCTGTTCCGCACAGTTCTGTAGACTTCTAAGTCTTTTTCGGGGAACAGCTCTTTGAGGTCCTCGTCGTTTCGTTGCGTTCTTTCAATGAGTTCATACATATTCACGTAATTAGTGTCCATCGAAAGGCCACCCGAATATAAGCTGAAAAAAGAGGCGCCGCCCGTAGAGCCGCCCAATGATAGGTCTCTCTTCGTCAGTGACAACAAGTGTTTGGCCTCCGATTCAGTGATCATCGAATCGGACACAAGACGTCCGCACCTTTGAGGGGCACACGAAGGGAACCGAACTCTGTCTTCGTTGTAGTCTTGAGAACACATCACTTGCTGTGCGATCGGCGAACCCCTTATGGATTGAGTGGCCGAAGCCATCACTACTTCGTTGGTATCATTGTATTGAGTTGTCGTGTAGTAAACCATCACAAGGATAGACATCGAAAGCGCCGTTTCACTCATCACTCGATTCTTAAAACTTTGATTTTGTGGTTTTTCGGACGACACTACTTGAGACACAACTCGAGACACGTTATCTTCATTTGTGTCTTCATTCTTATTGACAACTCTTTTACGTCCATTGAGTCCATCCGAAGACATTGTGACCAATGAATTGATAATCAAATTAAATATTATTAAAAACACAGAAAACAGATCAATTCTGAACCAGATGTGTCGGATTTACCATTCACAAATATTGTTTACTTTTTTAGGGCCGTTTATGGGTTAATCATTTGTCATTTATTTTGTAGTAGACCATATTTTTAATTTCATATACTTTTTTACCCATAAATGACCACAAAATGTAACAATATTTTTATACGCTTACTGTATCATTTGATTACCTTATAAAATTAAAAGTATTAATATTACAATAATTTTTAAATAATTACATTCAAATTTTACAATTTAAAAATAAATTTATGTTATGAAATCATTTTAAAAAATTAAAATTAATAATAACTTTATATAAATTTTTGAAATTTATTTTTTAATATTATAATATTGGCACTAAAATGTTGATGCTAAAACATAACTAAAATTACATGTTTATAAAATTACAATAGAAAGTAATTAAAAATAAATAAAGTATTATTGAATTTAACTTAAAATACAACATTTATTTTCTTTATTAGATTTCAATTTTCTGCTTGCCACATTAGAATTATAAATTTTCGATGTAGGACCAGTGTCATTTAAACTCATTTGTAAAGCTAATTGCAATTGATTATCCTGATAATTACCCATTGGAATTTGTTGACCACCTGAACTTGATGTTAATGTCCTTGCTACATTACTACTGGTAGTTGCCTAGTATAAAACAAATACATAAAAAGTTAGATTGTTATACCCGTAATAAGGCTTCTATTAAAATTATTTAAAATATAATTATAGACATTAAATTATAGACATACTTTTGGCTGAGGAGTATTTCTATTAGCAAGGTGATACTTTTTCTTAGCCAGTACAGGGTGTGTGACCAGGATCGTACGGATTTCTTGAGCCTTTTGACCCGATGCGTGAGTGTCTGGACAGTCCTTTTTTGAACACCTTGTACCCACTACCCACGCTGATGTACACACTAATCAGCGAAGAACTGGTCCCTAGGGAGTGGGGTTTTGCGCGGGACCTGCTCCCGCGCTCGGGAGTGGGACTACAGTGTATGGAGTGAGACGCGGGAGTGGGAATCCCGCAAAGCAAGCGCGGGAGTGAGGTCCCGCACTGACTCCCGCATTAGCAAAAACATGTGTATGGCATACACTCTATGCTATGCGTTACTGTGAGTCTTCACTCACTCCCGTCGCGGGAGTGGGAATCCCGCAAAGCAAGCGCGGGAGTGAGGTCCCGCACTGACTCCCGCATTAGCAAAAACATGTGTATGGCATACACTCTATGCTATGCGTTACTGTGAGTCTTCACTCACTCCCGAGTTATATAGCACTCTCATTGCTTTGCATAGCGTTCGCATTATATTGATAAGCATTATGTAGTCATAGTCTGTCGCTAACATAACACTCGCATTTAAAAATATATCATAAACTATATTATAATATAAATTATTTAAAAGTAAAATATTAATAATAATTACTGTCTTTGTTATCATTGTTACTATGAAAATGATTGACAATATTTATCAAAGTATCTTAAAACTGTACATGCGAAATTTTTTCAATGATAACTCTTTTCTAATCATTTAAATATAATACAGAGGGAGTAAAGATAGCTATTTATATAAAAATTTTATTTATTAATGTGCATTTTAAATAAATAAAAACAATTTAGTTTAATTAAATGTAATTTTATGGATATTTTAGTAATTCAAATAAACAAATAAATATTCATTAACTACATGCTTAAAAATACTGATATCATTAATGAACCCTAATAACAATTTAATTACAATGTACTGACATTCCTTTTTTGGACAACTAGTGCCGGACGTACACAACGCGTGAATATAAATACACCAATTTTCAAACCTACAGCCCGGGATGAGAATAGCGTTGCCAGACGTTCTCCATTCTGGAGAATAGTCCTCCAATCGACCCCCAGTGGCACAGTTCTCCAGAGGGGTTGTGGAGGACAATGTTAAGTCCTCCACAAGAATTTCTCAATTAAATTAAATTTTATTGTCAATTTTTAGATAATCTTTATAAGTAAATACACGTAACATTCAAATTTTAATTCATAAGTTATGAATAACTTCATTTCATTATTACATGAAAGTTAGTAATCATAATTAATCTAGTATATTCTTGGAGGACCTGTTTATTGTGATAATTGTGATATTTATATTATATATTATATAAATCTTTTACTTATAAAAGATGTTCTTAATATCATATTCAGTATACGGTACACTCAACTAAAGTTCAACTTATTTGTTAATTTAAATTTAACTTTTTAGTTTAAATATTTTATAAGTTAATTTTTCAATAAAAATAAATAAATAAATTTTGGAGGACGTAGGGTTTTGATTAAGTATAATATTAATTGTCTTAGGTGACAGGAAATATATTTATTTTTCAACATTTCCATATAAATAAATAGAAGAAACACTGTAATTGAATTTAATTTTATATGAATATATTCAATTAGTAAATATCCACAGGACTAGGGATTGATCAATTTTTGGAGAATTTTATGTTCTCTGTACTTATTTAATGACTCCTAATGTTATAACAACTGTTGTCCTCCAAAAGTTCTCCAGAAAAATGAATGATTTTAACATCTGTCCACCAATCTCGGAAAAATTCCTGGCAACGCTCAGTTTATGTAAACACCAAAATAATTATATTAGAGTGTTTTTATTATTATATTTGTCAATATTGACAACCAAAAATGTTGCAATTAATTTAACATACAAATTTTTTAAAATCAATAATTATGTTTTATTTTTCTACTATTAATTAAAAACATTTAGAAATAAGATCACAACCATTAAAAGTATAGTTTATTTTTTGTTTTATTTATGTTTCATGTATTATAACAATAAAATGTTTGGTGCAAGGACAATGTCTACTCCTTATTTATTATAATAAGCGCTATAATGGGACTCATGTGTGGATTTATACTGAAATCCATATTCACTAAGTCCATTCGTATTGACTTATATCGGACTCATTGGAAAACTAGTTATCAGGGCATTTATGATGAGTATAGTGCCCATCATTGTCTCATCTCTGGTCACAAGAAATTCAACAAAAATTACTATATATTTACAACTAATTTTAAAAAATGATATTCATATTAAAAGCATAATTGGCATTAAACGTGGATATAATAAACATAAGTGTAAATAGTAAATCTTAAATGTAACTTTCTAAATTGTTAATTTTCCATTTATTTTAATAAACATGTGTGCCAGTTTTAAAATTGGTATTTCGACTATATTATTAATGAAATCATATTCAAAATAAATAGACTTTAATATACATTTTAGTTTTTTAATGCTACATTTTATATGCAAAGAATTTATTACAATTTAATGATACAATTGATGACAATTGACGTAAAAATATTGCTAATTAATTTTTTACCCGCATTTAAAAGTGTAGGTAATAAGATCAATTTTGATCACAGTTTATAATTAGTAAAACACAGATCATAAACACAAATTAATAAACAGATTACTTATGTTAGTTTGTCGTATAGGGTGGTTATCTTAGCGTGCACACAGTGCCAGACAATGCCCTATTGATTGCACCGATAGCTCACACAGTCTTAGCTACTGTACAACCATTACTATCACTTGTATCACTTAACCTAAAGCCCCGGTATGCCGATACCCAAAGATTCCTGTATCGCTACGGCAGCTCGTATATCAATAGCTCCGTTATGCCGATAACCGTGAGTTAACTCCCGCTGTCTAAACCCAACCGCACTAATGCCTTATTAAGTGGCGGATAAATAATTAATAGTACACACAGCTATTAATTAACTATTGTTTATTATGAGACTAGTAAAAGGAGACTGAAGTCTCTCACAGTAAGGCATAGAGTTTTATAGTGTTTTTCAGTAATAAGAAACAGCATTGAAATATGTATAATAACATCTATAAAACTATTATGTATCTAAAACAATGATTAAACTAGTGATAATGAATGAAATGGCTAATAAACACGCATATCACATCGAGCATAAACGACAAGTTTACGATTTAGTTGACCACATAAAAAATTTACAAATAATAATTTTTAATTTATTAAAATTAATTAAATCTCATAAACTCTGTGAACGCTATGATAGAGAACCCAAACCATAGGCTTATAATACTCGCCGTTAGACTAAATTACAATTGAAAATTGACGTTAAAACAATGCTAATTAGATTTTTACATAATTTTACATATTTACATAACATAATTACATAATTTTACATAATAATTATAATAAAATAACAAAAATAGGACAGCGCTTAAAATAATATATAAATTATAATACTAATTTATGTAATTATGGAATATGTTAAACAAGTATTGTTATATAAAATATGATAATTAGCATATTACCACATGGTGTATATTTTATTATTCAATGCTAAATGAATGTTGAATGTGAAGTTGCTAAATACACTTAAGTTTGTAAATAAATACAATAAAGTAATATTTGTGGTTTCGTATGAAATACAATATGATATTGTAAGAACCTATTAATTATAGTTGTTTTTCTGCTGTAAAATATAAACTTAAGTATTGCCACGTGAGCATGTAACAAGATCCTCTATGTCTATCCAAATTATGTCACAAAGGCTATTACTGTGCATAAACTGTCACATAAATCTCTTTAATGTTCTCTATATAAACAAACGTTTTCTATGTTTAAAACACATTCTATTGAGTGGTGCTCTCGAGTGAGCATCACTTGTATGTATTTTTTTATGTATTACTGTATTTACTGTAAATAAAGGCCTTTTTGAATAATCTTTAGTTTTATTCATTTAAATAACCAAGTTTAACTAAAATCATTAAGATAAAATAAGCCAGCTCATTAATTCACCGTAATCATGAGCCGGTGATTAGACGGACAACCTCCCGGTGCTCACTATATAATTATACATTTATTACAAGAAATACTGTTTTAAAATGAAAATAAAGTTAA